TCTTCAAATGGTATATTGAAGTGACTGCCTTGAAGTGTCTCAGCAGAGGTCACCTTAGGATTCCATTAAAGGTGGATGGGCAATCCACTACCAAGAACTCAATTACTCTAGTCACCTCGTCGGAGTCACCCAATGTGACTGGGAGTGAGATCGTGCCCTTGGGGAGCAAGTGGTCCCCGGTGAAGCCATATAGAGGGAACGAGGCAGGCTTCAGGTCGGCCTCGTTCAAATTTATTATTTCGAAAGTTGAAGCGAACAGGATGTTCACAACACTTCCGTTATCCACTAACATTCTCTGGATATTATGGCGCCCTATGAGGGGCGTGATCACAAGGGCATCATCGTGAAGATGATGCAACCGGGCCATATCTTTTTCGAAGAAGGAAATTTCCTCCTCCCGGCGAACCTTCTATGGTCGCTGTGCCACGCTCATCGCTCTGATGGGCTCGTGATGTGCCTCACGAGCGTACCTTTCTTGGGCATCTCGCGAGTTCCTCGCGAAGTGCGGTCCCCCGAAAATTAAATTGAGGGTGCACACTCCTTTTTGATCGCGGCGCTTCTTACTTGACTCCCCCTGATTTTTCTCTTGTGAGGGAGCAGAGTCATCAATATACTCCTTGAAATGTCCCTGCTTGATAAGGTTTTCGATTGCCTGCTTGAGAGCTCGGCATTCATTGGTATGGTGCCCATTGTCCTGATGATAGCGACAATATTTTTTATTATTTCTGGCAGTCACGAGAGTTTTCATGAGCTCGGGCTCTTCGAGCAGGCTGGCCTCCTCGAATTTATCGAGAATAGCCGATACAGATGCGTTCAGTGGAGTATATTGTTTTCTGTCGCAATCGCGACGAGGGACGGGAGCATAGGACTTCTTGGGCTTGTAACGAGGTTTCTTCACTCTTCGCTGATAGTCTGCGTCCCCCCTGCGATCAGCTCTTCTATTATCCCACCGACCAGGTGTACTGCCCGAAGCGCCATGGTCGCGATGGCGGAGTGCCACCAATGAATTTTCTATCCGTAGGTACTTCTCCGCAAGATTATAAAATCCAGTGAGGGAAACATCGTCCTCAGTCTGTAATTCTTTCCACAGGCCGGTCTGTGGATGGACTCCAGCTATGATGAGAGTCCGAACAGACTCTTTGGGGGTATGAGCCACCTTGTTGAGTTCTCTATGAAAACGGTCAATGTAGGACTGGGGGGATTCATCCCTTTCTTGCTTTATATTGCTGAGGTAGCTCAAAGGCATCGAGAACTTCTGATTTGCTTGAAAATGCCTTAGGAACGTCGCGCTCATCTGAGGCCACGAACTGATCAATCCCGCTGGGAGTGACCTGAACCACCGTTTGGCATGAGAGGTCAAAGTCAATACCAAACAACGGCATTTTGCTAGATCTGAGACCTGGTGAAGCTCCATCAGGTCGTTAAATTCATACAAATGATCTTGCGAATCGGAGTTCCCATCAAACGCTCGCATGTCGGGCATCCTGAATCCTAGTGGGAGTGGAGCGGCTAACACTTCGGTAGAGAAGGGGGATGCAGATGCGACCTGCCCCTGCTCATTTTGCTGAGCTCATACTCTGTCTAGAGCTCGCTGCAGCTCCTCAATTTGCGGCAATGGAGCCGCTTGGGGATTGCTTTCACCCATGCGAGTTCGACCCTCACGATTACGGTTGAGGAAAGTCCGGAGGTCAGGTTCTTCTTCGCCTCGGTCGGCAGTTCCGGCCACTCTCGACACACGTTGGCTAAAGGCATGTGATGGCGATGAAAGGTGCGGGGTATTTTCACAAACTTCGCGGTGGTAAGAACCGCCCCGCAAAGTGTGGGACCCTCTCGCACGGTGACGATCATGATCATTTTGCTAGCGGTGATAGGAATCACCCCGTCCAGTACTTTTATGGGTGTGCACTTGCGACGTGGCATAGGACAGCTCAGGCTGCCTCCTTTCACCGAGTCTCAACCAGACTGGTATTCTGCTTGGGACGCGGTCGGAGTTTGCTGGCCCTTTGGAGCCCGTGGGCTTGTTTTTTGCCACTTACTTACCCTTTCGTCTACGCGCTGCAGTGCTCGCAGCACGGGCTATTTCCCTTTGTCGCACTTTCGCACGACCTGCAGGCATTTTTGGCGGTTGCACCGCCGCAGTTGACTTCGATGGCACGCCTTGGTCCAAACGGTCCAGCCTTCGGTTGACTGTCTAGAAAGTATTGTCAAACCTCTCCAGGTAGCTTCTAATAGCGGGGTCAAGCTGTGAACTTGATGGGATATCTCCTGCAGCATTTTGCGGGGCTGAAGGTTTTTTGGAAGAAGTGTCCCCCTGAATTTGGGGGAGCCCCTCAGCGCCCTGGTTGGTTTGCTCAGGTTCTAGTTGGCGAGCCATTTGTTGCTGTAGGACCGATAGGTTGGAGATTCTCCTGATGAAGGATGAACACTAAATCTAGCGCCAAACTGTTGATGCGTGATTTTGACACCAACGAAACGCACGTGTGAAATGTTGAGTTGGCTCAAAAGACACACGTGAATGGAAAGGAAAATGACAGTAAATGCAGTGAGAAAGGAGTTTTAAAGTGGTTCAGATGCTAAGGAAGCAAATCCTACGTCCACTGATGGTTTTATTAATTATAAGGGTCAGGTCGTTTTAGACGACTGACTTTACACTGATGATACAAGGTATCAAAGGCTGTCTATTCTAGAGAGAAAGAGAGATTGGTCAAGAGTAAATGTGCGAATCCCCTTAATGAGAGAGGAGCTCTCAACTTATAGTGGGATGCCTTGAGGTAATGATCACTGAATCTGTAAGTTGGTGGGATGATCCGTGCAAATCCTTCTTTATGTCACATTATCCATCTTCTAGAGTAATTCACGTGATTTGCTGCAGGGATTTGACACGCAGGATCATCACAACTCCTGGCTGGGCTGATGTGCACCCACTATTCTGACGGAAGCAGGCTGTGGGTGCAACCATGATCACACGATGCGGCTGCGCCAGAATGTCAATAAACTCTTCCCGAGGTCTGGCCTTTCGCACTTAACTGGGTGCCACGTCAGCCCTATTCTCCCAAGCATAACAGAATAGAATCCCACCTTTTGTACCTAAATTTCAAGTATTTAAAAACTTGTCAATGAAAAATGCATAGACAAAGATAAGAAACCCAATTATAATCTAATTTTATATAAGTAATTTGGAGAGAGAAAAAACAGATCCACCCGCGGGTCCACCCGTATAGGGTAGGGCACGGGTCCAATATTGTGGACCCGTATATCTCAACCCGTACCCGACCCACCCACTGGTTTTGCCAGGTCTAACTACACCCTTATTAAGTTATAAGCTCCTCATAATAATAAAATTAGTTAGTCTCACAATTATGACTATAGAGAGGTTTTACTGTACTTCATTAATCATAATTAACCACTAATCATGTTTAATTAACCTTAATCAATAATAAGGCTATTTAGTTAACACTTTAAAATTACATAGCTTTTTAATTTAATTTCATAGCTTTTTAATTTAATTTGAACTTCATACTGTCTTTTAATAAGATGTCTAAAAAAAAAAAAAAAAAAAAAGTAGCCTTTAAAGTTTAAACTTTAAATAAAGTGCTTTTATTGCATTTAAAAGCAGATTTAATTGAAATGATTTGTCAAGCCTTTTCAGTTTCCAAGTCTTCCACCAAAATAAAAAGAAGTCTTTCTTCAGTCCGATTCTACTTTAACAATAGTGACAATAGTTGAATGGTATTCCTGTATATCTGAAAACGAAACATATCATGAATTTGGAAATGCTCTTTGATTTCATATTAAAGAGAATTTCTTATGTTATCTCTTATGTTATCTATAAACTCGATCATCCAATAAAATTAATGAAATATTTCTAAAGCATGTCAACAAAAAATTTTAATAATAGCTTAGTTTTATATATAATGAAAAGATGTATTTGTTAGTATTAATAATGAAGTCATTATACAATACTTTTAAAACATGAAATCCGGTCGAAGATAATTATTAATATATTAGTTAATGAGAATTTTATAAATACAAAATTTGTGCTTATTTTAATTTAAAATTGCATTATTCATCCAACTTTGACCTTTCTACATTTCATTTCTGATTACGTTTTTGTCGATCGTCCAGTAAAATTAATGGAATATTTCTAAATCATATGAACAGAGAAAATTTGAAGAGTATCTCAACTCTTTTAAAGATTAGATTAACGACTTTCTTACATATTATATGTCCATTAACATTGTTTATAATAGTTTTTTTTTTTCTAAATTTAGAAATATATGAAAATTTGTTGTTAGATACCTTGTATAAAAGTTAAAATTAGAAAAACAATTACATATACTGCAGCTTTTAAAGTTATTGTCAAATACACAAAATTATAACAATTATAAGATACTTTTTTATTATTATTATTTTAAAGAAATAAATATCAAGATATTATAGGTTAATATATTTATGTCACATAATAATTATTTTCAATATAAAAAAAAGGAAATTCATAAGAAACGTAAGTCCAGTGACATTTTTTAGCATCCATATATTACTTGATATAAAAATATGGACAATACTAAATTTATAACCTAATCTCACAAATTTGTTGTCAAAACCTCGATGTAGGGATTCGCAATTGATCAACTCACAATAAGTTTTATTTGCCCAATTGTGGATCCTGTCTATCCAATTGTGAGCTAACTAATTACGAGCTATCACGTCAAAATTGTGAGAAAAAATTTGTGAGATCAGATTGTAAATCGATCTTTATTATAAAAATGACTTTTGGTGTTGAAAACATTTTGGGTACCTATTTATAATACTATTTGGGCTCCAATTTTCAGGATATGCATTTGTTTTATTACCAGTAATTATATCCAAGAAATTTGATTCTTGACAGATTTGACCATTCTGTTTGTGGGGCCTGTCATCTACAATTTTTTTTTTTTTTCTTTTCCTTTATTTCTTTCTTCTTCTTCTTCCTTTTTATTTATTTAGTCTGTCTTCTTCTAAGCACCGCAACAACTCTCTCTTCCACCTACCGTCTGCAACTTTTTTTTCTCTTTTCCTTCTTTCTTCTTCTTCTTTTTTTTTATTTCTTAAGTGTGTCTTCTTCCAACCACCAACCATTGCTGCAACTTCTCTTCCACCTACATTCAATCTCTTGTGAAGCTCAGCCAGGCCAATCTGCACTATTTCGACGCACAACTCCCTGCTTCTTTCACATACAGCTCAGGTTTTGTTGTTTATGTATTATGTTTGCTTATGAGGTTTTGTTGTTTATATACAGTGTTTGTGTGTGTGTGAGTAAGTGATTGTAGTAAAGTTTTCTTAGTAGAGTGTGTTTGTTAGGATCTGTGAAGTGAGCACCAGATCTTCTGCCAAACAAATATTCAAAAATTTATTCAACTCAAATAACAAAATTAAAATATTTTATCACACATATTTTATTCAAATTTTGTTTTAATAATAATAACTTAACTCAACTTTACAATACTATTTTAAAAACCCTGCCCAAAATAACAAAACCAACACACCCATAAAGATTATAACTTAAGATTCTTCTTCTCCACTAATTGTGTAGCAATTTAGACTTCCTAATACAAAACAAATGTATAAAATCCACTGATGAATAAATGAACGGTGGAGATTCATTTGCATGTGACAGTCCACCACTCCTCTATGTAATGGAAATCCATTTTATGGGGCCCTCCAAAATCTGCAATTTTCATAAATTCCTTAAATGAATTTTTCCCCTTGGGAATTGAGATGACTCAACAACAAAAGTCTCCTTTAACGTTTTTAAAATAATAAGAAAAATTTAGATTTGAAGATAAATGATAAAAAGATAATTTAATAAATATTATAAATGTAAGTTAATAATTTATAGTTTTTTTTTTTTAAAAAAAAAAAAACCTTAAAACAATGTTTGTTATTATATCAAAGCTTAGAGGTTATGGTTTTTAACTCCTGTATATATTAACAACTCAAACTCTACTGTCTCCTCTCTGTCTTGCAACTAGCAAGAACGTTCCAAGTCTGAAGTAAAGAAGCAAGTGAGGCTTATGGAAGGGCAACTCGGTCCACGTGACTCACTTCCGACTCTCTCGGAGGTGGTGGTTGAGTCTTCAACAAACGGCCATCTTCATCTCCTTCACTCTCGTAATGCTAACTCTCTCAATCCTTCTTCGGAAAAAACGGTTTGTGTTTTGTCATTTCTTTCTTATTTTGCTTTTGCATATGCACGTGTTGGTTTTTGTTTTTCAGTTGTTTTCTTTGATGGTTTCTGTTTAATTTTTACAGTTTTTTTTTTTTTTTTTTTTTTTTTTTTTTGATTTTTAGGGTTATTTTAACCGTGCGAATTGATTGGATGAGCAGAAAGGTAAATGGGAGACTCTGGTACTTGCATACAAGACACTTGGTGTAGTGTTTGGAGGGCTTGTGACATCACCACTTTATGTGTATCCATCAATGCCATTGAGGTCTCCAACAGAAGGAGACTACTTGGGGATTTTTAGTATTATGTTTTGGACTCTTACGCTTATTGGTGTTGTTAAGTATGCCAGCATAGCTCTCAAAGCTGATGATCAGGGAGAAGGTACGGTTTTCAATAGAGATTCTTTGTGTTTAAGTTGAAAGTCAGCAAGTTTTGTGACTGTTTTTACTTTTTATGCATTTTTAATTTGAGCAAAGATGGGTGTTTGAAATGGTTTTATTGATTTATCTTCATAATTTAGTGCTATTCGTGTTGATATTTGTCTTTTTAATTTTCTAATTCTTTTGTTAAAATGGTTTTACCATATAAAAGAATCTAAATTTTTTTGCTTTTTGCACTTAACCCATATTGTTTTTGAGGATATAGGAGAAGAAATGGTGGACTTTTGAGTTCTTTTTTAATTATTTATTAATTTATTTTGTTGTGGTGGATCACATATGCTTCAAGAAAGTAAAGGAGCTAACAAATTTAAGTCCACTTGACTATATAGTTGCATTTGGAAATTGATTAGAGATATTTTTAATATTATTACTATATTTCCAAATATCTTCACCTGATAAAATGAAAGAAGTGAAGAATAGTTACTTGGTATTCTTGTTGTTGTAGATTTCTATGCTGTATTTCCTGTACCTTGGAATTGAGCTCATTGGATCTATATTCTGTTATGCTTTGATGACTACTCATGGACATATGTTGCTTAGTGTTTGAAAATTAAAAAGGCAAAAATGTTTTTGGTTGTGCAATTCCCTATGATGTAATATGCAATTTGATGCCCCAGAATTTGTTTCGGGGCTACTAGGAAATTTGGTCAAAAGTTCAGGCTTGTGGTTGTATATAGAATCTTAACTACTAGACGCTTTACTGTTGCACTCAAAACATTTATTTCTTATTTATTAATTATAATTTTTTGAAAACAGAAAGTATACATGAGAAGAAAGACACTTAATGGTTAACAGTACTAGGATGTAGAGAGACTATTAAATAAGGAGTTATGCAACCTGGGACCAGGATGTGAGCCTATGTTCAATTCCCTTGATCTTAAAGAAGCTAAAAATATGGGCCATTTGAAGCAATATGATTTATTGATATGGGTGCTTATGTATGAATATGCATATTGAGGATAGATCCACCAGATAAGATTCATATGCGGTAAGAATATCATTTTGATGCACGGGAGTTCTGAAGAGGAAAATGATGATAGGATGACTTTGGAATGACCAAATTTGATGCAGAGCATCAGGTATTAGTACTTTTCTAGGAATATGAGGAAAAAAGGGCAGTAGTCAGTGGTGGAACTAGTTGTTTTATGTTGGCAGATTACTGTATATTATAGCTATGAATAACTTAGAAACTGTCTCAAGATCAGGGAAGAATTGTGAAGCTTTTGTGCACTCTCATGGAACTTCTATAGTATCTTCTACCCACATCTTTGCTGCAATGTTTTTGGCCAGTATTTTTTGCCCTTTTGTCATTGCATTCTACAATGTTTTGGTATTGTATGGTTGACCATGATTGTGCAGCATTATAAGCCTAGCGACAATATTTTGGTGTTTATTAACTGAGTTAGATATAGACACACATCTTATTTCTTGGATAGGATACCAGAAATATGCATATGGATGGGTGTGGAATGAACACTGCTTTAAGTTACTTTGACAAGTGAAAAGTGAGAGAGGCTTGAATTTATTTTAAATGGTCAAGGTGAAAGTTGGAAAATAAAATAATTGCAATTTTGTTGATTGTTGAGTGTTTTGATACTTGATTTTATCTCTATCAATTTCTCAAAAATGCATTTTCTAATACTCTCCAGTAATTGGGGCTATTATATGATACATGGAATCTGTTCAAATATGCCCTCGCAGACCTGTTGAAAATTTTGTTTTCTTCAAAATATAAACATAACTATTGCAAAAGATACAAATAGAAGTTCTGGGAAGTTTCAATTGCCCTTGCATATACCTTTTTTTGTTTTTTTGGTAAAATAAAATAGTGCCTGGATTTCTGACTTCTGTATACAACTGATTGGTTGCAGGTGGAACATTTGCCTTGTACTCATTACTTTGTAGGAATATGAATATTGGATTTCTTTCTCCCAAAAATGTATCTTCCAACTTGGGTATTTCACGCTCTGTTTTGCATGATGGTACTGAAACTAAAACCAGGCTGGGCAAGTTTTTTGAAAAAAGTATTGTTGCCCGGAGGGTATTGCTTTTCATTGCTATGTTAGGCATGTGCATGCTTATTGGAGATGGAATACTTACGCCTGCTATATCAGGTTTGTCAGCATTATTTTTTGTTTTTTAATGTTTTATGTTCTAATGTTTTGTTTGTCATCTATTAACAGTGTTATCTGCAATGGATGGAGTGAGAGCACCTTTTCCTTCTGTCAGTAAATGTAAGCACTGCTGCAAATTGTTGTAACTTGATCAAAAGCATGATAATATTACAGAAATCCAACTTATTTACTCTCATGATGTTGCAGCTTTGGTGGAAGCTCTTTCTGCAGTAGTTCTAATTGTTCTGTTCCTGCTGCAAAAATTTGGCACCTCCCGTGTGAGCTTCCTTTTCTCCCCCATCATGGGTGCATGGACCTTCAGTACTCCACTTGTGGGAATTTATAGTATTATACACCATTACCCTAGTATATTCAAAGCTTTATCACCCCACTACATAGTCCATTTCTTTTTGAGAAATGGAAAGGAAGGCTGGCTGTTGCTTGGAGGAACTGTCCTCTGCATCACAGGTGAGTCTCATGTTCAACTTCTCTAAAGTCATAAAATAGAAGAGTGACTCCATTTTAGTTTGCGTATGTACCTGTCCTTATATAAAATCATCTGCTTGAGATCACAAAATCTGCTAGCACTTGGATTGTATATATAATTATGGTTCTGAAAAACTCAAATATAGAAGTCTTCTCATGAGCTTCTTCTCTTATATGCTCAATAGATTGGATTTAAAAGAAAAAAAGCACTACAAATTGTAACTCATATATAATTGTGGTAGTATTTTACTGACTTTTAATTAGATACAAGGGAAGTTAAAAGGAATAAAGAGAGATTTTGTACCATTGTATCTTTTGGCTAGTTTTGTTTTGTCGCCACTCATGCTGTCAACTAGACAACACAGATAAGGCTTTGAATGGTCTTCAAGGTAGAGACCACCTCATTTTCTGTAACTCCAAGTTAGTAGGCTTTTTGTAACAATATGACAAGTGTATACTACAAGGGAACTTGAAGATTTATGTTCCAATATTCATCTTTCATTAGACGAATTACTTAAGCCTATTGTTGAATGGTGCCTTTTGTTTTCATCTCCGGCTCATTGCAAATTTGATGGGTGAAGCTCAGGCAATTTGTTGCATATTTGCATCATAAGACATTTTTTTTCTTTTGATTTATAAGAACCAAATGATGCGTTCTTTATGTGGACGTTATTCCATGTATACAGGTTCTGAAGCATTATTTGCAGATCTTGGTCATTTCAACAGGAGTTCCATTCAGGTAAATTTCATCACCTAGTCTTCTTTGTCTCTATTTACAATGTCATTCTCACACCTTTTCCATGCTTTCTTTTAACAGATAGCTTTTCTGTTTACAATATATCCATCACTTGTTCTGACATATGCGGGGCAGACAGCGTACCTGATCAGGCACCCCAATGATCATGATGATGGATTCTATAAGTTTATACCAGAAGCAATCTACTGGCCTATCTTTATCATAGCCACATCAGCTGCAATTGTTGCCAGCCAATCATTAATATCAGCCACCTTTTCTGTCATCAAGCAGTCTGTAGTGCTGGACTATTTTCCTCGGGTCAAGGTGGTGCATACATCTTCCAGAAAGGAGGGCGAGGTCTACTCCCCAGAAATCAACTACATACTTATGGTTCTTTGTGTTGCTGTTATACTTATCTTTGGAGATGGAAAAGATATCGGAAATGCTTTTGGTATGGTAAAGTAATATCAGCAATTTTCTTTTAGTGACAACCACGAAATTCTTATCATTGTTTTATACTTACTTTATAGCAGTTTGTGGTTAATAATTAGTTACCATTGCGCTACTTATGATAACATTAGATCTCCATAAATACATGTTCTCGCAAAAATTTGAGTTTATAGTATTAGCCAATTAAGGGAAATTGTGATTATAATTTCTATTCCATAATTGGTTAAGAAGAATATAAAAAAAAAGAAATTACAAAGACTTTGACAGCATCATCACTTTCTGATATCTATTTTAGCAAAAGCACGCTTTTTTGGGGTATTTGTTCGTAACTTTATTTGCATGTATTAATCCATTCTGTTGCATTTCATATAGGCCTATGGTTCACTGATTTAAACCCTTGCTTGCAGGTGTTGTTGTTAGCTTAGTCATGCTCATCACCACCATATTATTGACACTAGTCATGATTATGATATGGAGAACTCCATCAATCTTAGTTGCACTCTACTTCTTGGTGTTTTTCACAATGGAAGGTGTTTATGTGAGCGCTGTTTTCACGAAAATTCCTGAGGGTGGATGGATTCCTTTTGCCATATCTTTTTTTCTTGCCTTCATTATGTTTGGATGGTTCTATGGGAGGCAAAGGAAGATAGAATATGAGTTTACTCACAAGATTAACTTGGAAAGACTTGGAATTCTATTATCTGATCCAGGTGTTCAAAGGGCTCCTGGATTGTGCTTCTTTTACACCAACATTCAAGATGGGCTGACTCCTGTCCTTGGACATTACATTAAAAATATGAGATCTCTTCATAAAGTTACCATTTTTACTACTCTCCGGTACTTATTGGTTCCTAAGGTTGCTCTAGAAGAGAGGATTGTCATCAACAAACTAGGCCTTAGAGGAGTTTACGGATGTGTTATTCAGTATGGCTATGCTGATTCCCTGAATCTTGAAGGTCATGACTTTGTAAATGAAGTTACTGATTTCTTGAAGGAGCATATACAAAACCTCTCGGGGTGTATATCATCCAATCCTATGGAGATCAAGGAAGACAATTCTGATCTAGAGGATGCAAAGCGGTCTGGCGTGGTGCATATTCGAGGGAAGACAAGGTTTTACATAGGGAATAATTGTGGATGGTTTGATAGAATAATACTTGCGTTTTATGAAGTCTTGCGCAATAATTGCAGGTCGTCATTGCCTGCCTTTGGCGTGCCATTACCGCAGCGCATTGAGGTGGGAATGCTGTACGAGGCATAAGAGTAAAGTGGAAATGTAAGATTTTGAGTTCCAAGAAGTTGCATAGGATAGATACATTACATAGTGAAGAGGGAAAATTACAAGTATATTGTTCCTCATCAGAAATGTTTGGATTTGAAAATCAGGTTATTTGAAGAAAAGTCAAAGATATATATATATATATATATAAAGAAAAGTCATTTCCTTACTTCTACATTCAATTTAAAATTTTGATAAATAACTGAAAGAGCACTTAACAAACCTTAATTTTCACGAGTACCGTCTTGCACGAATGGGATATAATAATATTAACCTCACTGAAGTTGGGTGTTTTAACATTTTATAGGGGTTATAATGATAATTTATATAATATATTATACAGTAAAACCTCACTACAATAATACCTATATAAAAATAACTTTCATGTAATTATAAAAAAAATTGATCTAAACTTAAATGAATTATAAATAAGAATAAACTTCATATTGTAGTAAATTATAATTTTTTGAGATCTCGTCTCAAGAAACTTGTTTCTATATATATATTAGAAAAGATATATGTACTAGTTTTTTTAAAACTATGTCAATCTCTTTTATCAATATTTATACCTTGGATTTGACATAGTGATAGAACTAGGATTTTTGCTAGAGGGCCCTCTACGACTTTCTATTTAGGGCTGCAAAAAAAAAAAAAAAAAAACAATCCAAACTTGAAAATCGAACCAAAACCGGTCCAAAAAATTAGTTTTTTAGAGTAATCGAATCTATAGCAAATGGGGTTTTTTAGTTTTTGTAAGTTTTTTATTTTCTTTGGTTTTTCCTTCATGAATCTATGATTTGGTCTTGTAAATGCAATTGGGAAGTTAAAATAATGAAGAGAATAGTGATAAAAGATTGGGATTATTTTGTAGTGTTAAAATTTTGGTTAATTTTATTGATTCTTGTTGTGAGGATATGTATTAAAGTTGAAATAATCGGAGGTAGTGAATAAGTTTTGTTGAAGAGTTGCTCTTCAATTTAAGATTTTGTATAAAACGGTTTAAAACCGCTTAATTGGTTTTCGAACCGAATTATCGATTCGGTTAGAAACCGGTTCATAAGATATTATGTTCGGTTTTGGTTCAAAATATTGCTTAAACCGAAAAACCAATTCGGTTCGAAAAACACCCCATCCGGTTCCATTAACTAGATTTCCACACTCTTAACACTATTGTTTGCCAAACAATTAGTGGAAACTTTTAAAAAAATCACCAAACATTAAGTAAAGGAAATAATGCAATAATATAATACTTTTCTACTTGAATAAATCTATAAGAAACCAAATCATCCAATTCACGAGGAAACATAACAAAATTTTTACGTGGAAAAACCTCTTCAATGTGAAGACAGCAAAAAACCACGGAAATCTAACGATTAACTTAAATCCAATATAATCAAAAGAGTTTACAGCAACCACAATCCACCAAAAATATTCTACACAGATTTCTTATTTCTCCTCTTTTATTTTTTTTATTTTTGGTTTCCAAAAATTATAGTATAAATTTTTATAACATTGATCAAACCTAGCATAAGTTAAAGTCAACCAAAACTTAAATCAAGTTAACATTGTCTTTTTCCATGAGAATCTAACGATCTACTTAAGGTTTAATATGGGAAAGCAGGAATATTCTTAGATACAAAACACAAAACAAACTCATAAGATCCATACATTTTTCCACCAAATTATAATAAAAAAAAACCTCTAAAAAACAAGCATGATTCGACCCTAAAATAAATTAAATTGAAATGAGCAATACACATACCTAAAACTGATAAAACAAAAAACGGAGCTAATTGTGGCACATTGAGTAGTGAAAGCTTCAACAATTTCAGTCTTCAAAAGTTTTAAGAGTAAATAGCATAAGAAAGAGAATGAGAGAATGAGAAAGCAAATAATTTCGAGGATAAAATCCTAAAAAGCAGGTGAAGCTGTAGAGAAGAGTGGAGAGAGTTCTAAACTTTTAATATGATGTGGAGTTAAAATATATATATTAATAGCAAGTTTTTTGTGGGTCTGGATATATGTATAATAATTCTCATTTTTTAAAAATATGATGGTAGGCCTATATATATATAATAACAATTTTTTTGTGAGCCTATATAAACATTTTTTTTTTTAAATGAGACCTACCCTCAAAGGGTTGGGTTCCTCTTGATTTGACATGTTCTATTAATTAATTATTAATGTAGTATATATTTTACTTCTATACCACTTGTATTAAGGATAATTAAGTCAAAACAATAAATTTTGTAAGTTGTAACTATACTTCTATTAGGTTATAATCTTCTCACAATAGTAAAATTAATTTAGTACCACTATTAAGACTATAGAGATATTTTACTATATATAAAATATCAATTTATCCCATAAAAAATATTAAAAAAGTCCACTCGAGTGATGCTAATACCATTATATCCACTCGTGCATTGCAAGAGTCTAGTCACTCAAATTTATTCATCAGTTTTCTAAAAAAGCCATTTTTTAACCAAATTTAGTTAACACTATATATTTTTTTGCTTTTTATATACGCTAAATATATTTTTGACATTTCATATATCTTTTAACACTATATGAATATATTCTTTAAAAAAAAAAAAAAAACCAAAAAATTATAATATTCAACATTTAAATCTTAAATCAAAAGCTTTTTCTCATCATGAAAACAATGATATTAATGTGATTAAGTGTAGAAGATAAGGATAGAAATGTTCAAAAATCTTACGGAGATCTTTTTACATAGTCATTTAAAAGTTGGTTATTTGTTAATTTGAGTTTTTAAAAAAGGTTAGCTTAGTAAATTTTCCCAAACAAGTTATAGAGTGTTTCTATTGGGTCCCCATTGATGGACTAAATAAATCCCATTTCTTGTATAATTACAAATTTATCCTTGAATTAAATTACTAAATTTATATTTAATTTCTTCTTTATAAAACACTCTTACCACTCCCCTTATGTGTATATAAACCCTTTTCAAAGAAAAAATTGAATAAAATACATTTATGGAATTTGTGAAGAGTTATAAGAGAAAAAAAAAAATTTTAAAACTCTTAAATGGAATGTATTAAGAACTAAAGTTTCTTTATCAAATGGAATGTATAATGTACCAATATAGTTGGACCCAAATGGAGCCATTGAACGAGGTAGGCCTCCATGAGCAATGCTTGTGTCGCACTCGCACCAACCTAACCAAACTGTTGGGCCTCAAGGCTAGAACTATATAAATGTCATGCGCCAACTCGATTTTTTCTTATAAATTTTTAATTTTTTAAAAATGGAAAAATTAAATTTAAAAGTATTTAGGGTCTGTTTGGTTCGCTATTCTAATACTTTTTTGAGTAATATTTTGAAAAAAAGTTAAATTGAGCGGATATTACGATGTAGGATTTAGAAATTAACAAAAATATCTCCTATGTTTGTTTATTTACTAAACACCCCTATAATAAAATATTAAAAGTTAACAAAAACACATCAACTCACCCATTAAATACGGCAGCAGGCCACCACCGCCGGAGGGTGGCTGGAGTCGTCGTATCGGCGCATGACCGGCTAAATCTTACCGATTGTGCGCCGATATGACCTTTTCAGGTCAGATCCATGGTAGATCTAGTTGGTAAAAGGCCAGATCTACGGCTAGATCTAGCCATTGACGGCCAAATCTAGCCGCATTTGATCGTCAACGACGGCCAAAGATATGGCCATTGTTGATGGTCAACGACGACTATATCTTAGCCGTCGTTGACGATTGGCTACGGCCAAAGATTTGGTCGTCAACAGCCAAATCTTTGGCCGTAGATTTGACATTTTCCGGCCAGATCCACCGGGATCTGATCAGAAAAGGCTAGATCGACACACTATCGACCAAATTCAGCCGGTAGTACGCCGTTATACCAGATTCCGGCCAACTTCTGACAATGGTGGCCGAAATCTGGTATATGTTTATTACTGGAGTGTTTTTGCAGTTTCTAAAAAAAATATTTGAATGTATTTAGTTAAATTAACAAATTTAAAAGGTTTAAAAGAAATTGAATAATATAGAATAATATTGTCAGAATAAGTTAATTTTACTGTTTAACTTTATTAGAAATACTAATAATAGTATTCCCAAGAGTGTGCCAAACGGACCCTTAAATACTTCATTTTAGTTATAAGATAATTAGGAATGTTTATGGATTCAGACCGCTATGTTATAGCTTATATAATACTCATCCAAGTTTCACGGCTTAAATCTTTATCCTAACCAGAGTTTTACCCAAATTTCGCTAACCTAAGTTTTACTTTGAGCTCCCAAAGGCCAAATCCCTACCTTAACTTTGTATATGTGGTTACCAAAAATATGTGGCTCATTAAGTTCCTCTCCACCTACTTTGAAGGACATTTATTCATAATGCAATAGTCACTGAACCCAAAGAGTTATACCAATCACGACTTTCCTCCTTACACATTGAGAATGAGAAATGAACATTCGGGGCGTTTTGTGATGCTTTTTCAAAAGTAAGGGATCTTAACAAAAGAATTCAATAGTCACTCCCCGAAAAAGCGGTCTACGCAACCTGCATTCTCCAAAAAGGACCATATCTATCTTCCATGAACAAGGGAAATGTACAACTGAACTGATTCAACATTAACTCCACACAGCAACTAACCCACTTTATTATGCTACTTGCTCATAGATCATCTATATATAAACCACACTTAACATACAAACAGATTCAATAATACAAAGACAACTACAACTTTATACAATCTCACAACAACCAAGCTTTCAAGAGGCATGCCGAAAAGACAGCCTGCTTGGTGAATCGATTCTCACTATGACTTCATCTTCTGTGCCCGAGTCATCACTAGAATAATCTATCACATGACTCTCAGTTGTGTCTGCGGGAATCTCCCCAGTGGACTTCCTCATTTCCAGTTTCTTTCTTGCAGTAGCAGGCCCTTCTGATTTAACAGATGGTAGTTGATAGGCAGAATGGGATGGAACTCTTGAATAGGACAGGTTATGTGATAGCTTGACTCCAATACCACTTGAAAAACTTCGCGCACGACTTGGAATGCCAGCCTTAACATTGAAATGATGAAGACATTAGTCCAGGAAAACAATCAAAACCACCAAATCAAGACTTCACCATCTAAGAATCATGATTTAAGATTTCTGATAGCCAGTCTTTCTTCCTCCCAGGAAAAAAGAGAACAAAAAAGATGAATTGAAAAATAACTTATCAGAAATATGACATAACTTCAATTATAACAAATAAAAGCCCCTACCACAGCCTTTGCAAACTCTCTCTCTAAAGAAAAAAGCTTCAAGTAATTAAACGACCATACGAAGAAGAGTATGCAACACACTAATTTATTCGAGGTATTGGGAGACTGAACAATTCTTCCATAAAATTACTAATGAAAATTCCTTTTTAAAGAGGTACTTCACCATACCGTGCCGCCAAAGATGCTCACATCCCTTGCTTTTGCTGAAAAGCTGTTTGCATTACGATTAGTCTCTAGAGAGCTCAGCTTACGTTGGCATGCCTTTAAATTTTCAGGCCAACTCATTAGACCACCATGTTCTCTACTTAAGGATGTATGTGGTTGATCACTTGAATGTGATAACAATGAGGATTTCCTTCTGAGGAGAGCACTGTCAGCTTCAAATGCTGCAATGTCAAAAATAACAACTCTTGCTCTCGACTCAACTTGATAGCAAGATCCTTGATGAGAAAAACTAACCATCTTGATACCTGCATTGATCAGTGTCAGTGATCTGATTCTAATATCAGTTAGCCACTACCAACTACAACATGGATAATACAAAAACAGGAATGGCTGAAATAATCCAGCTAACATGTTTCTTTTGGCCCATCTAATCAATATAGCTGGAAAGTTCCATTTTGTCTCTGATTTGGTAAAATGCATTTGATGACTTGCATTTCTTATTCAGCATACGCCATGAGTCATCAGTCACTATAGCAATCCAATTGTATTTCATGGTCTGCCGAGGTCATAATAACTCATACTGTATAAATATGAGATCTAAAATGAATTAATAACTAATAATGGCTTTCTTACAATTGATACTTTTTTTCGATTGATTCTTCCTTTTTTTCTCCCGTTTCTATTTCTTCTACTATTTATTCCATTTCTTGCGTCTAAAAAATTATATCCTTGTTTTACCAGATCTTCAGTGTACAACTTTTAAAGTCTGTTTTAAAACAGAACAGAAACCCAATCCTTCAAATAATCCCACCAAGCACAGAAAATTACTAAAAAATTAGAAAAATCCACATCACACTGAAAGGAGGAAATTGTAAGAGAGAGAAAAAAAAATGCCATTGACAAGGAATCTGTGAGGTGCAGAGAGTTTATGAAAAGAAACAAGGCAGAAACCCTATCTTCTCTGGGCTCTACCCGAGAAGAAAAGGAAAAAGATAGAGAAACTTGTCTGGCAGGAGGAAGTAACTTTGCTCTTGCCTTTTAGGTATCATTATTTTTAATAATGTTCAATAAAGCATCAGTGGGTGGTGCAAACACTGACATCTACATGTTATCTCAAAATCTGGGCATTCAAACTTCAGAACCATCGTATACTTGTAACTACAAAGATTTTAAGACATTGTCTAGTCATAAGAGGTTGGCTAAAAAATTACCAGATGTTTCTGCACTTTGAAAGCTTTGATTTCCTTGTGAAGGAAACAGAGCTGCAGGTGATGTAATAAGTTTTTCTTCGACACCATCGGTTTTTATGAATCCTTCCAACAGGAAGCCAATGGAACGGTAAGGTATTTCTATAATTTCTCCTCTTATGTATGTAGCCATACTTGACCTCTCTGCAACAAGAGCTCTCAAGTCTTGCAGTGTCAGCTTTTCAAATATTTGAGGAAGCAATATCCTGGCAAGAATTATAGCACTTTCCTGCAGAAACAAGATAGCTAAACTAGATAAAAATAATCATATTACAATTAATCAGAGATATATTCCTTTCAATTATCCTCTTCAAGATGATTATACATTATAGAATTATCTGATCTGATCAAACAAGGTACCTCAAATGCTTGACAAAGTGCATTCTTAATTAAGTAAAGCTTTGATCACCCACAGATATATATGTTTCACATGTAAATACCAAAGTCTTACGCTTTCTTCACCTAATGCCTTCAAAAAGTTTATGTACAGAGAATACAATAACAAAAGTATATAGTAAAACATACCTGCCACAGGAAATCTTCTACTGCAGGATCTGACCTTAGTACTGAAAGTATTTTTTCACTTTCAATAAAGAAGCAGAGTACAAATGAATCTGTGACAATGTCACATATGTAAGGCTTTCCAATTAGTACTTCATACAGGCCCAAAGTACTCCCATGAGTAAATACTGGATGCAATGAGAGCTTGTTTCTAATGCTCTTACTTGTCCACTGCCCAAAAAAAAAAAAAAAAAAAAAAGAAAAAATTTTTTTAACTTGGTTTGCATCAAGCAGAACTAGCAACATAACTTTGTACTAAAAGATCTAACTTGCCCATGTGAACGTATTGTTTACCTTAACAACACCATTAGAGATAAGCCAGACACCATTTGGCCGAGAACCCTCCTTATAAAGTGTTATGCCACAGGGTTTCATGATTTCTTTGGTGGAAAGTTCAAGTGGTTCACAAACATTAGAAGGAAGGGCCGCCAGTAAAGGATGGACACTAATCAAATCACTTATTTTTGGGAACTTCACCAAAGGAGGATTCCTTAGAAGCCTTTTCAAGTCAGTCTGCAAGAGTTACAATACTACAATTTACAAATAATTAAACAAAGTGTTTGAAGAACTGAAAAATTAGGATGCCTAATTGCCAAAAACACAGCAAAAAGATACCTGGACAGCATCATGAAGATGAAGCATTTCTTTTTCTTCCAACAATCCAACCTTCTCAAGATTTTGGACATACTCAATTAAATGTTTCAGCACTGAATGTGTTGCTTGTCTTGTCTTTACAACGTGCAAAACCTACATTTTTTTTCCAATATATGAATTCATCACACAACGTTCTCTATGCTAGAGAACATATTAATGGTACATTTGTCTTAGTGAGCTCTAAGAAGAAATTAAGAGAAAAACAACAGTACTCAAATGACTATTTCCAACTTAAGTGCAGTAAAATTGATCCTCCAAAAATATTTACTAATCACACAAACCTGAGGAAATGTTACACGGACATCTTCCAAGAACTTTCTTGCTTCTTCCCCTTCCACCTTGCTTTCTTCGATGACAACAGAAGCAATATCACTGTCACCTAGATTAGTTCGATGTATAAGAATTAAGAGCAGTAATACAATTGATCATGGAAATCCAAGAAAATTAGAAACATCTCAGACTATAGGTTATATTTTGCTTTTGTTACATGTCAAATGCACTTATAATCCTAATTCTAGCATAGGTTTAGAAGCTGGTTATTCTAGACAATTCCAAATTGTTTGGGTAGGGAAACAATTGAGTTTGAACAGAAAATTATCTAATTTCAAGTACCTAAGCTAGAATTTCATTTGGCACCATCAGGATTGCTTTGTACTCTCTTTTCATCAGAATTTATAATTTTATACGGAAGGGATGAAGAGTAATAGACTTATTTTACAAGTTTTTCTTACAGAATGACCTCTCTGAGCCACCAATTGAATCAGAAAAGGACTAATCGCTGTAGAGTTGTGGGCAATCTCATGTTATCAGATTTTACATAGCATATAATAAGAATGCATATCTGACTTTCATGGTGGATTGTACTCTTCAGTGCTATTAGATGTGGATCCGGTATTAGGGAAAGATCCTTTCCCTTTTCTTTAAAGTACATGAACATATTCAAGGGAAGGATCATAGTATTAAGACTGTAGTATTCTACTTGGGAGAGGTAAGTCCTCAAATTGCTTCCCAAACGGGTGGACGTGTACGTCAAGAGAGGAATCCTTGATGAGAGATAACTTTAAGTGTGATTATGGTGAAAACACAAGTCAAACGAAGGAAAAATAAATGGAAGCTTCGCGTGTGGGCCACCTAATTTAGAGATGGAGGGGGTCATTCCCAGGGATTGTACTGTCTAATTTACAAAATCAAATGTGGCTGTCTTTGTCAGCACACTGAAAGACTGTTCTGCTACTTAGGTAAGAGGTACAATCCCTTGGATGATTCATAGTTCTATCGAGTCTCAAGCCACTACACCAATGCTGAATTTTCTAAATAAAAATACTCTAGAAAATTCTTACATATCTTTTCCTTCTACAGTAAATAGACTCATAGATTCCAGGCCTATACTAGATGCTTCATATGTCAACTCTGGATTCTTTCAGTTGTCAAGCTAGCTTTTTGATCTAAAATGGTGATTGCAATGATAGAACCTTGAAATCTGTTAGAGTCTCACACCGACTAGGCACGCTCAAGCCTATTGGTTTATAAGAGGGCGTAATCCTCCCATTCAACAAGACCTTATTGGGTGAGGAGTCAGGAGGCACACTTAAGCCTATTGGGTTATAAGAGGGGGTAATCCTCTCATTCAACAAGGCTTTATTGGATGAGGAGTCAGATCCACCTCAAATTCTATCATGGTATCAGAGCCCAGGTTCAGTTGAGCCGAGTGCTTGACCAGCGGTTGAGGAGTCAGCAGCTACCTCTATTAAAACAGACATGATCCAACATATAGGCTTGACCGTGAGGAGTGTTGAAGTCTCACACCGACTAGACAAGCTCAAGCATTCTAGTTTATAAGAGAGGGTAATCCTCCCATTCAACAAGCCCTATAGGGTGAGGAGCAGACTCACCTCAAATTCTATTATAGTATCAGAGCCAGGTTTAGTTGAGCTGAGCGCTTGACCAGCGGATGAGGAGTTAAAGCCAACAACCACCTTCATCAACAGGCATGACCCAACATATGGGCTTGACCGTGAGAGACACTGTTAGAGTCCCACACCGACTAAGCATGCTCAAGCCTATTGGGTTATAAAAGGGGGTAATCCTCCCATTCAACAAGGCCTTATTGGATGAGGAATCAAACCAACCTCAAATTCTATCATGGTATCAGAGCCTAGGTTCAATTGAACTGAGTGTTTGACCAACGGGTGAGGAGTTAGAATCAGCAACTATCTCCATTAAAACATGCATGACCCAACATACAGACTTGACCGTGAGGAGGAATGTTAAAGTCCCATACTGACTAGACACGCTCAAACCTTCTGGTTTATAAGAGAGGGTAATTCTCCTCTTCAACAAAGCCTTATTGGGTGAGGAGTCAGACCCACCTCAAATTCTATCAAAATCTTTTCCAATACATCTCCTCAGGACACTCAACAGAATGCTATGATCTTCTTTAAAACATGTCCTCAAGACACTCCAACAGAATGCTATTATCTTCTTCAGAACATCTCCCCAGGACACCAACATAATGCTATCTTGAAACTGTGAAATGAGGTTTGTCTCCACTGGTTTCCTTGAGTAATCGGTTAACTCATCTCAATGTAAAGTCTTTCTAGTAGCAACCTTTCCCTGCTTCAATTTCTAAAAGCTTGGGGCATTAATTGACAACTCCCAAATCAGTGATTCCGAATTTCCACCAAACAGATTCGGATAATCCTCTTCTGAACACACCTTAATCTCAATCAGACATCAATAATGGGAATGCACTATGTGCTCTACCTTACTATTCTATGACAAATCCCAAAATACTATTTATGACATTCTGATCAAGACAGAATTTTTTCCAAATTCTCCCTAATAGCATTCCAAAGTCAAAGAGTTAAAAAATGAAAAAAGATACAGGATCTGTGCTGAGCAGGGTAATTAATGTATTCTTGACAGCTGAAAGAATTACATGCTTAATGTACTGGTAAGGTATATATTAGTGCCCCTCGTTTAAGTTGTCTGTAATATAAAAATTGGATATGCTCTAGCTATGTGTTTCAGGATGGGAGGTATACTGGGATTTACAGAGCCTAATCAATTCAGTGCCAAGAGACTTAAAAAGAAAATAAAGTAAATTAGGGAAAACCAAGTATGAATAAAGAGTTTCTGGTCAACAAACCATTTGCTAACAATAAATAAAGCAAATAGAATAAGCAAAGGAATAATTTACCTATAAAGTCATGCAATTGCTGCCGTGCAATTCTATGAGCACGAAGAAATGCGGCACATATGTAACAGCCAAATTCCAACCTTCCCACAGTGAAATATGTAACCACTTTTTGTGGAAAAACTCCTGATTGAAGGACCTTGTAATAATTTGGGAAATGAACATTAGCTTTCAAACCATTCCAATCACATAAAGGCTCATTAGATGCCAAATCAATTGCTTCTTCGACTGATTGCATTAAAAGATTAGCAGCAGATTGCATTATCCTTCCCTCGTCAAGCATTTCCCAGTAAGCAGCTTGGACACCTGATATGAAAAACAAATTCTCAGTTTAACATAGTCTTCCTATAGATGCAGCAAGATTTAATTCCAGGACATTAGAAATAAGCATTAAGTGTAAACTTTCGCACCCAAAACGATAGAATAAATCTCTCCTGTTTTTTGTCCTGTCTCATTATTCTTTCATCCTCCCTATTTCCTTCTGTTTCTGTTTCTCTTTTTGTCTCATTCCATAATTTTCTAGTTCAACATCAATTGGTACCTTCAATCTTACATTTTTCATTTATGAGACCGACAAACTCCCCTCAAACGAAAGCCCAACCAACAACTAATTCAATTGAATCTAGCAAGTGTACCACAAACTAAACTGCGGGAGGAATAACCAAACATAGAAATTGCAACTTGGTTATGATGCCATTTTAGTCAAATCCTGATTACACGAAGAAATTATATTCCTTTGAAACACAAACATTTCATAATGAGTTTAAAAGAAGGAAGATACACTCACACATAAGGATAGACAGAGAGAACAAATAACAAAGAGGCAGGGATAGTGTGAGGTTATGCCTACCCAGAAACCCCTGCTATTTGTGAAGAAAAAATGCACAAACTATCCAAAAAGAAAAAGAGTAGCAGGAGAGAAAGCAAAAACAATAAAGTACATACCATTCAAAATACGTATGCGTATATCTTTCAAATTTGTGGGGTCTAGATGACCATCACTTTTAGATGGACTGTGAGGGTGCACTTGTCGCTCTTCCAAATTATCTAAGCTTCTAATATATCTTTTAACTGTAGGCCAGTCAGTAGGTCCTAATTCCTCATCCTCTCCTAGATCACCAAATGCCTCTACTGCTTTGTTCAACATTTCATACTTTGTGTAGTCCAGTATACGCTTCTGTAACATATAGAGGCCATCATATGGTGAACATTGGCAGCAAACAAAACAAAAATAAGGAAGTATTTTTGGAACTTGCAGTTCATAACAAAGTTAATGCATAGAGGATATATGTCAAAAAATATATTTAATATCAAAGCTGCCAAAGTTTAAACTAAAGCCTAAACCCAGTGTTCCAGTAATGAGTATATGGGAAATTTTTTTGTCAACTACATTCATAATACTTGTTTACATATTTTTGGGCCATAATAGATCAAATAATTTTTTTTTTTTTTTTTTTTTTCATTTTTAGAGTTACACAATGTTAAAATAAACAGACTCCTTTAAGAATCCTGCTTTCAAACTCATTTTGTATTCAAAGATCTCATCAATAGTTCCTCAGCACCAGGGCAAAGTTCTTTAATCTATTCTTCTTTTTTTATTTTAGCAAGTTACTAACTTATAACAAAAAGATAAAAACATTAAAACATGCATGACCCAAACTACAGACTTGACCGTGAGGAGGAATGTTAAAGTCCCATAATGACTAGACACGTCAAACCTTCTGGTTTATAAGAGAGGGTAATTCTCCTCTTCAACTTTCTTTGGTGGAAAGTTCAAGTGGTTCACAAACATTAGAAGGAAGGGCCGCCAGTAAAGGATGGACACTAATCAAATCACTTATTTTTGGGAACTTCACCAAAGGAGGATTCCTTAGAAGCCTTTTCAAGTCAGTCTGCAAGAGTTACAATACTACAATTTACAAATAATTAAACAAAGTGTTTGAAGAACTGAAAAATTAGGATGCCTAATTGCCAAAAACACAGCAAAAAGATACCTGGACAGCATCATGAAGATGAAGCATTTCTTTTTCTTCCAACAATCCAACCTTCTCAAGATTTTGGACATACTCAATTAAATGTTTCAGCACTGAATGTGTTGCTTGTCTTGTCTTTACAACGTGCAAAACCTACATTTTTTTTTTCCAATATATGAATTCATCACACAACGTTCTCTATGCTAGAGAACATATTAATGGTACATTTGTCTTGGTGAGCTCTAAGAAGAAATTAAGAGAAAAAAGACAGTACTCAAATGACTATTTCCAACTTAAGTGCAGTAAAATTGATCCTCCAAAAATATTTACTAATCACACAAACCTGAGGAAATGTTACACGGACATCTTCCAAGAACTTTCTTGCTTCTTCCCCTTCCACCTTGCTTTCTTCGATGACAACAGAAGCAATATCACTGTCACCTAGATTAGTTCGATGTATAAGAATTAAGAGCAGTAATACAATTGATCATGGAAATCCAAGAAAATTAGAAACATCTCAGACTATAGGTTATATTTTGCTTTTGTTACATGTCAAATGCACTTATAATCCTAATTCTAGCATAAGTTTAGAAGCTGGTTATTCTAGACAATTCCAAATTGTTTGGGTAGGGAAACAATTGAGTTTGAACAGAAAATTATCTAATTTCAAGTACCTAAGCTAGAATTTCATTTGGCACCATCAGGATTGCTTTGTACTCTCTTTTCATCAGAATTTATAATTTTATACGGAAGGGATGAAGAGTAATAGACTTATTTTACAAGTTTTTCTTACAGAATGACCTCTCTGAGCCACCAATTGAATCAGAAAAGGACTAATCGCTGTAGAGTTGTAGGCAATCTCATGTTATCAGATTTTACATAGCATATAATAAGAATGCATATCTGACTTTCATGGTGGATTGTACTCTTCAGTGCTATTAGATGTGGATCCGGTATTAGGGAAAGATCCTTTCCCTTTTCTTTAAAGTACATGAACATATTCAAGGGAAGGATCATAGTATTAAGGCTGTAGTATTCTACTTGGGAGAGGTAAGTCCTCAAATTGCTTCCCAAACGGGTGGACGTGTACGTCAAGAGAGGAATCCTGGATGAGAGATAACTTTAAGTGTGATTATGGTGAAAACACAAGTCAAACGAAGGAAAAATAAATGGAAGCTTCGCGTGTGGGCCACCTAATTTAGAGATGGAGGGGGTCATTCCCAGGGATTGTACTGTCTAATTTACAAAATCAAATGCAGCTGTCTTTGTCAGCACACTGAAAGACTGTTCTGCTACTTAGGTAAGAGGTACAATCCCTTGGATGATTCATAGTTCTATCGAGTCTCAAGCCACTATACCAACGCTGAATTTTCTAAATAAAAATACTCTAGAAAATTCTTATATATCTTTTCCTTCTACAGTAAATAGACTCATAGATTCCAGGCCTATACTAGATGCATCATATGTCAACTCTGGATTCTTTCAGTTGTCAAGCTAGCTTTTTGATCTAAAATGGTGATTGCAATGATAGAACCTTGAAATCTGTTAGAGTCCCACACTGACTAGGCACGCTCAAGCCTATTAGTTTATAAGAGGGGGTAATCCTCTTATTCAACAAGACCTTATTGGGTGAGGAGTCAAGAGGCACGCTTAAGCCTATTGGGTTATAAGAGAGGGTAATCCTTTCATTTAACAAGGCCTTATTGGATGAGGAGTCTGACCCACCTCAAATTCTATTATGGTATCAGAGCCCAGGTTCAGTTGAGCCGAGTGCTTGACCAGCGGGTGAGGAGTCAGCAACTACCTCTATTAAAACAGACATGACCCAACATATGGGCTTGATCGTGAGGAGTGTTGAAGTCTCACACCGATTAGACAAACTCAAGCCTTCTAGTTTATAAAAAAAGGTAATCTTCCCATTCAACAAGGCCTATAGGGTGAGGAGTCAGACTCACCTCAAATTCTATCATAGTATCAGAGCCAGATTTAGTTGAGTTGAGCGCTTGACCAACGGATGAGGAGTTAAAGCCAGCAACCACCTTCATCAACAGGCATGACCCAGCATATGGGTTTGACCGTGAGAGAGAGTGTTAGAGTCCTACACCGACTAGGCATGCTCAAGCCTATTAGGTTATAAAAGGAGGTAATCCTCCAATTCAACAAGGCCTTATTGGATGAGGAATTAAACCCACCTCAAATTCTATCATGGTATCAGAGCCCAGGTTCAATTGAGCTGAGTGTTTGACCAACGGGTGAGGAGTTAGAGTCAACAACTATCTCTATTAAAACATGCATGAAAGTCTCACACCGACTAGACACGCTCAAGCCTTCTGGTTTATAAGAGAGGGTAATCCTCCCATTCAACAAAGTCTTATTGGGTGAGGAGTCAGACCCACCTCAAATTCTATCAAAATCTTTTCCAAAACATCTCCTCAGGACACTCAACAGAATGCTATGATCTTCTTTAAAACATGTCCTCAGGACACTCCAACAGAATGCTATTATCTTCTTCAGAACATCTCCCCAAGACACCAACAGAATGCTATCTTGAAACTGTGAAATGAGGTTTGTCTCCACTGGTTTCCTTGAGCAACCGGTTAACTCATCTCAATGTAAAGTCTTTCTAGTAGCAACCTTTCCCTGCTTCAATTTCTAAAAGCTTGGGGCATTAATTGACAATTCCCGAATCAGTGATTCCGAATTTCCACCAAACAGATTCGGATAATCCTCTTCTGAACACACCTTAACCTCAATCAGACATCAATAATGGGAATGCACTATGTGCTCTAGCTTACTATTCTATGACAAATCCCAAAATACTATTTAAGACATTCTGATCAAGACAGAATTTTTTCCAAATTCTCCTAATAGCATTCCAAAGTCAAAGAGTTAAAAAATGAAAAAAGATACAGGATCTGTGCTGAGCAGGGTAATTAATGTACTCTTGACAGCTGAAAGAATTACATGCTTAATGTACTGGTAAGGTATATATTAGTGCCCCTCGTTTAAGTTGTCTCTAATATAAAAATTGGATATGCTCTAGCTATGTGTTTCAGGATGGGAGGTATACTGGGATTTACAGAGCCTATTCAATTCAGTGCCAAGAGACTTAAAAAGAAAATAAAGTAAATTAGGGAAAACCAAGTATGAATAAAGAGTTTCTGGTCAACAAACCATTTGCTAACAATAAATAAAGCAAATAGAATAAGCAAAGGAATAATTTACCTATAAAGTCATGCAATTGCTGCCGTGCAATTCTATGAGCACGAAGAAATGCGGCACATATGTAACAGCCAAATTCCAACCTTCCCACAGTGAAATATGTAACCACTTTTTGTGGAAAAACTCCTGATTGAAGGACCTTGTAATAATTTGGGAAATGAACATTAGCTTTCAAACCATTCCAATCACATAAAGGCTCATTAGATGCCAAATCAATTGCTTCTTCGACTGATTGCATTAAAAGATTAGCAGCAGATTGCATTATCCTTCCCTCGTCAAGCATTTCCCAGTAAGCAGCTTGGACACCTGATATGAAAAACAAATTCTCAGTTTAACATAGTCTTCCTATAGATGAAGCAAGATTTAATTCCAGGACATTAGAAATAAGCATTAAGTGTAAACTTTCGCACCCAAAACGATAGAATAAATCTCTCCTGTTTTTTGTCCTGTCTCATTATTCTTTCATCCTCCCTATTTCCTTCTGTTTCTGTTTCTCTTTTTGTCTCATTCCATAATTTTCTAGTTCAACATCAATTGGTACCTTCAATCTTACATTTTTCATTTATGAGACCGACAAACTCCCCTCAAACGAAAGCCCAACCAACAACTAATTCAATTGAATCTAGCAAGTGTACCACAAACTAAACTGCGGGAGGAATAACCAAACATAGAAATTGCAACTTGGTTATGATGCCATTTTAGTCAAATCCTGATTACACGAAGAAATTATATTCCTTTGAAACACAAACATTTCATAATGAGTTTAAAAGAAGGAAGATACACTCACACATAAGGATAGACAGAGAGAACAAATAACAAAGAGGCAGGGATAGTGTGAGGTTATGCCTACCCAGAACCCCCTGCTATTTGTGAAGAAAAAATGCACAAACTATTCGAAAAGAAAAAGAGTAGCAGGAGAGAAAGCAAAAACAATAAAGTACATACCATTCAAAATACGTATGCGTATATCTTTCAAATTTGTGGGGTCTAGATGACCATCACTTTTAGATGGACTGTGAGGGTGCACTTGTCGCTCTTCCAAATTATCTAAGCTTCTAATATATCTTTTAACTGTAGGCCAGTCAGTAGGTCCTAATTCCTCATCCTCTCCTAGATCACCAAATGCCTCTACTGCTTTGTTCAACATTTCATACTTTGTGTAGTCTAGTATACGCTTCTGTAACATATAGAGGCCATCATATGGTGAACATTGGCAGCAAACAAAACAAAAATAAGGAAGTATTTTTGGAACTTGCAGTTCATAACAAAGTTAATGCATAGAGGATATATGTCAAAAAATATATTTAATATCAAAGCTGCCAAAGTTTAAACTAAAGCCTAAACCCAGTGTTCCAGTAATGAGTATATGGGAAATTTTTTTGTCAACTACATTCATAATACTTGTTTACATATTTTTGGGCCATAATAGATCAAATAATTTTTTTTTTTTTTTTTTTCATTTTTAGAGTTACACAATGTTAAAATAAACAGACTCCTTTAAGAATCCTGCTTTCAAACTCATTTTGTATTCAAAGATCTCATCAATAGTTCCTCAGCACCAGGGCAAAGTTCTTTAATCTATTCTTCTTTTTTTATTTTAGCAAGTTACTAACTTATAACAAAAAGATAAAAACAGACATTTCTCCAAGCTATCCCTTTGCAAGAGTAAATATGGAAAGCAATTTGGGTTAGTGACAAAGTGGGCTCAATAATCTCTTTAGAACAGTGTGAGCAGGTGAACCAATTCCAGCCTATCACTGCTGGTTGAAATGCTTGAAACTTCAATTCTACATTTTTTTTTTTTAAGTTACAGAAAACTCTCTTCCAGTCCCAGCACATAAGACCCAATAAAGGCAAGGAACATGGAAAGGACCAATTGAGGTCTCAACGTTAAGCCAAATAATAATCTGAGAGAAACCTAACTGATTTACTTTGCAGATTAACCAAACATGTCAACATACCACTAGCACCCGTCATTTACACGCATGATATTGATTTTGTTTTAAAATATTTAATCTGATGGGTCTCAAAGGAAAAAATCTAAATTAATTTAGTCACATTGGATTTCACTCTCTAAAATAACATCATAAACCAAAGTGAACCGATTGTCAATAAAAATCTTAAAAAGTGTAAAATGTAAAACTCATAAATCTAAGCAGAGAATATCAGAATAACTCTAGTTGAACTATTAATTCAATATTTTCTCATATAAGTTTGCTATAAATTATACAATGCATGTCTTCATAGACAAAAGGCTTATAGTCAAGAATTGTGGAACAATCATTGACATTGCAACAAATCAACTCTAAGGCATTTATGTGAAATAAGAGCAGTGTCGAACTAAGGAATAATGAGAAAATTTTGTTTTTGTATCCTAAGCAATTGGTAGGCTAGTATGGCTTTAAGTTCAGTGTTCTTACAAAAAAAAAAATATAGATAAATAAAGAACTTAAAGAGAGAAACTTGCAGAATATTTGACAATGAATTTGGAGATGGCAAAGGGGGGACAATTGGATATGGTTTTGATTGATACATTAGCAGAAAATAATTTTACAACATATATAGACATCATACCCTGTAGCTAGGTCACAAGAAAAGGAAACTAGGAAAATATAAATTTGAAATCTATATAGACAGTCAATTAGTTACAAAGCATAGGAAACAATACAACCATGAAATAAACATGATCCCACAAATTACACCTATGACGAGAATAGGAAACTTTGACTCAACATTCTCCCTCAAGCTGATTCAAAGATATTATAACATTCCAGCTTTTTCAATCAGAGGTTGAACAGTTTCCTTGGAAGCCTTTGGACAGTGTTAGGAAGACATATCCCTAATCAAAATTTATATAAAAAGAAAAAAAGTGTGAAATATATCCCTAATCAAAAGTGGAATCGACACACTAAACAAGCCATTCTCTAGCTTTTCCTAGATAAAGTGTTGTCTATGTGTTTAGTTCTATTCTGCTAGACAAAGTTGTGAGAGAAATTGGTGGCAATTTTATCCGATGCATTATTACATTGGATTATTAAAGTCAACCATGACTGAGATGATGACATCTAATTCACTCATGGAACTTTCATACACTGAACCTGGACTAATTGTAGAGAAGCTGTCATAACTCTTAATAAATGCCAAATACCACATTGTGAAATGCGTTAAAGAACTTACTACAGAAACTTCCAAAGGGAAAAAAAAAAAATAACAACATCAATATTCTGGAGATGAAGTTAAATCTTACCTTCGCAGTTGATAGCTTATCCATCCCTAAAAAATGTAAAATATATTGCGTAGTTGATCCATTCACAATGAGCGTCAAAAATACAATGCCACCAGTAAAGAAGACAAACTACAAAGGTTAAAGATAAAGAATTACATCAAATAAAAAATAAATATGACATCCATGTCATATAAATCCATTTTGATGGTAAATTATATATATGCTCTTTTTCGTACATAAGTTGACTAATTATAAAATCAACATGCATGTTCTAAAACTAGAAACTAAAAAATAATAATAATAAAATGAAAAAGAACTCACCAAGACTCCCGTTTCAGATGTGATAAGTGGAGAGCTATCACTAGAACGCTAAAAAACCAAGAAGCAGATAAATTAGCAGCAAATAAGTTTTAAAGGACCAAAAATACATGTATGTGATATGTATAGGCATGAAAGTAATAAAGGAGCCTATGGGTTCTCTTAACATATATGGACATAGAAATTTCGTATGCTTGAAATAAATGAGCTTTAACATTTAGCCATCAGACTTTTTGGAATTGAAAGTTATATGTTACATAGCCACTGATAAGGTAGCTGGCACAATTTGACAAAAATTTCTTACACAATCATCTCTTCAGAGACAAACTCAAAAGGCATGCACTGCATGTAGTACAAATGAGTAAACATATATATGAGTCTGCACTGTACAAAAGTAGGTTTCAAAGTATAATTTAACACAGATTAAACATCCATTGCTAGCCATAAATAGTTTCATGGTCAATAAGAAAAAGAGTCGAGTATGTAATTAGGATCCAACAGACTAAAACCCAGAAAGTAGATATAAAAATAGATTTTTTTTTCTTAAAAAATAGAAGAAGATATGCATATATGAATTCATGGTTATATGTAGGGGCACTGTTCTGAATCATTTTGAGTTGATACTCCAAATACTAGGTCAATTAGTAATATAAATTATGATAATAAAATTCATAGAAACTTGCCTTAACAGATAGTGAAAGTGACAGCGCAACAGCCCCTCGCAAGCCTGACCATATGAGAATAGCAGCTTCTTTCCAATCCAAACCATAGCCAAAATATCGCAAAAAAGGATACAGTATTCCAACAACAACACACCGTGAAACTTGCACAAAAACATATAGAAGAATTAAATAGCCCCATGAATATCCTGAGACAAAAACATCAATTATTGATATCATTAAAAAATGAAGAGCTGAAATAGTGATTTAATGTGCAAATATTTCTTTCTTACAAATGAAGGCATTGGTTTGAAAAATCTATAATGTTTTAAATACAAAATGTAATTTCTTATATACATAGGTTCAAAGCAAATACAGTCTGACATAACTATTACCATGGTCAAAGACACTGTCACTGCCTAGAATTCCTTCAGCAATAACAACACCACTGCAAAAGAGAAAAAAAATTAAGAACGCCATCCAATTAAAGTTACATAAATAAGAATATAAATACATAAACTTAGTCTTTAATTGTTATTTCCAAAAGTAAAGAACTGAAATTAAAAATAAGGAAAAGAATAGGGACAAAAATAGATAAGATGATCATGATTTTCCTAGTAATATGAGAAGTATCTTATTGTCTCTCAACTTAGCATTATCTATCTATATCATACAAGAACGGCAAAGTAGACCCCCAAAACTACCTTGAAACCTTGTTCTTATTCTGAAGTGCCATTTATCAATTCCCCTGTGACCCATAACCCAATCAACCCCAACAACTACCCTAAATCCAAAAGATTGTGCAAAACAACACAACACCTGACTGCCACATGCCATACTTCAGGGTTTGAAAAGGAAAGAATTAAATTACATCAAAGTTAACTTGATTACATACCAAGGCTTCCAAGTGCATTGTCACAAATGGTAATGACAATATAATCAACCAATGGACACATATCTTGGTAGCAACTGGTTGATAAAAAAAAAAAAATTAGCTTGCCGTGGGGGCTTAGGCTTCAAGGAACCGTATAAATTAGAAGGCATCAGTTAAGAAAATAAGGTTTCCAAAAATTTAACATACCAATTGAAAACTTTTAAATGAAATAACTTCACACCAAGAAAATTTATGAGCTCAACATGGATGATAATAAAGCAATGTACTTTAGGAATGTACATAAATTTTAAAAAATGAAATCATTTTGAACTTAATGAGAACCACCAACAACCTTTGTTAACACCACTAAAATTCCAATGCAATAACAATTCTTTCACATGTTTGTCATACAAAACAAATTTGATCAAGTTTTCTTCCATTCAACAATTTCTTCTCATAAAATCATGATGGCAGATGCTGGTCCCTATCAAATATTATGAGGAGAAAGAAAGCTTCCTTCTGCCACCTGGGGTTAATGGAGCGCAAGGAATGGTGTATTTTTCTACTGTAACAAAGCTAGGGATCGCAACGGGTCAAAGCAGGCTGGGCCATCCCTGAATAAAAAAAACACCCCTGTCCCCAGCCTGATCCCTGCTTATAATAAGCGGGGATCGAACAGGGATTCCTGGAAACGGACCAGGGATTCCTGGAAATTTAATTCGATCCCCATCCTGGCCTAATTTTCCCTGATTGTTTACTATTTCTTTTTTCTAAATTATCTTGGGTTAATGGGTCTGAATAGTTATTCAGTTATTTCAATTTGGGTTATTGTCTTGATGTATTTTATTTAGAGCAGTGTTATTTGAACCCCATTTTAATTAAAATTTATTAAATAAAATTTAATTCCAAAACCACTGTTTATCTCCTTCCTCTCTTATTCATCTAACCTTCACTGTGATTCTAGAATAAACACTGCCCCAAACAAAAAATAAAAAGACCAATTAATGGATGGACAACATTATAATATCATTGATTGATTAATCAGCTATTTAGGTGTATTTTATGTGTCAATATCATTGGTTTTTGTGCAACAAAGAAACCAACCAACACCACTCAGACACATTGGTCTGAGTGATTGCTTGGTTTCTTTGTTAATATCATGGTGATTTTACTATTTTAGAGTTTTATAGAACTTTTGTGTTAATGTGGAGGAACAAATGCTTTTAGCCTGCTATAAATTTATTTTTCATTTATCAAACTTTAGGACCTTTCAATTCTTTTTCGTTTCGAGTAATATGATATATAAAAAGAAAATTATTTCAATTTTATCACATCAAATAATTCAATTTTTATTTAAATTATTATAATTATTTATATATTAATCCTAAAAATTGCTACATTAATTAAAATGTTAAAACTTGGCTATACTATATTTTAAACTTAATTATTTAGTTTATGAGGAGGCCAATGGAATAAATATTTTTACTGATTTAGTTTTCTGTTTATTTTGTTGCTAGTAATTTTGTATTCCCTTAATTTTTTTATTGTCATTGGTTTACTATTTTTTTTAATATATTTCAGGGATTTCAGGCCGGGTTGGGCCAATGACCCCAATCCTCGTCCCCAGCCCAGAAAAAGTGGCCCATGAGGAATTTTGCCATCACTAAACAAAGCTGCCTTCAAGAACTTGCAGGCCTCACCATCATTGGACCCTTATCAATCTGATAGAAAGAAATTAAGAAACCCGTATAATCTATTAGGGTGGCTAGTTTGGTAAGAAATTAACGGTCATCTGAGGCTTAATGACTGTACCACAAGTATTGTATAAGTTAGTTGACGCTTTTACAGTTACTTTTTCTTTTTTAAGATACTGAAAATCCAATGACCTTTCATATGTAGTCATTGAAATCTAAACTGGGGGTCACTTCTAAACCCCACAATCTTGATAATCAGGGAACTTGTAGGATATATTATCCTAAGCAGATGGCCACAAGGGAAGTTGGAACCCCGACCCATAGGAGTTTTCAGGTTAGTTTATTTAATTAAAATCTCATAAAAAGTGAACAAAATAGTATCTAACAGTATGTGAAGCATATTGACCTAAAGGCTGGAAAAAAGACATATAATACAAATGATAAAAGCACAAAACGTCAAATATGTAACTACCGGATTTCCTAGCCTAGCAGTTTGAATTTTAAACTTAGTTGTTATCTAGTTGCTTTTCTGAATTTAAATTAGGATTAGTCCTAGCTGATTGTTATCAAGTTGTTGAGGATTGTTCTCTATAAATTCTGTACTCTGTAGTGTATCCTATGCATTTTATTTAGAAAATAAAAATTCAGAAAACCTTCCATGGTTTCAGTAACAATTATCATCATAAGGAAAAAGAGAAAATTCAGAGAATGTGGCTTCATATACTAGTTTTCTAGTAATAATTTCAAGCCTTATTACAAAGATGCAGCTGATGCTCAATGTAAGAATGGCATGAGACAGATATATATTACATGTGTGTTGAAGCATGAATGAAACGTGTAGCTCATTTTGACTTGCTTATCAATACAAAGATTAAACAGTATAAGAATTCTACCTTTACTTGACAACAAAAAAGGAAAAATATTTAAAAATTCTATTCTCTTACCTCAAGGTGAAAATTAGCGTATTGGCAATATAAGCAACCATTTCCCTGAAAAGAATCAAATCAGCACACTACACAGTTCCACATATTGACATGCAAAATTTATAACTAAATGCCTCGCGCATATAACCTGATGACCATGGCATTCAAGGCTGGTATTTCCAACTTTACTCTGGGAACACATTTAACAATTATGTGATGGTAATGCTTTTAAGAAATTTATGTCCTTAATGGATCTTTTTACAATACAAGAGTAGCAACTCATGTAAAACCCCGCTAATTTTATTTTCTTTTTTCATAGTGAGATAAATTAATTCTTTTAACAGCCTTACATTTACTCTTCAAACCTACCATAGGGCTAAACCTCAAGGTTTCAATCCAAAATTTTCTTCTTCCTGTCTTTTGTTTGGCTCCAGCAAAATTAGCAGAAAATGTTCTCAAAAACAGCCAACAACTTATTTTTCTTTTGTTACTATTCTCTCTTCTTCTGCCTTCTACTTTTCAAAAAGACAAAGGAGTCCCATCAACAAGAGATTAAGGTTTATCCATCATGGCAGCAACTCTGCTCCTCATCACAAAATACTTCCATAAAACACATTCATTTTCACCTTATATTACACCTCTTATTATATGAAGTAATTTGATATAACACTCGCTTTCACATGATATCAAGCGTCCTTTACTAAAAAGTTTGTGCATACTGATGTTATCTCTAGTTTTCATATATAAAAAAATATTATGCTTTTTAAATTAATTTACCATATATTCTAATGTTAGATGAATTTCCAAGGATAGGTGGCTATTTGTTCTTTTATCTGAAACATGAATAGCTCTGAATTAGAATGAAAGATCAACAGATCAGTAAGCATAGGTCTGAACAATATGTTTGTTCTTTTTCTTTTACATTCGTTTAATTGTTAAGTTATTAATTTTTGTAGAAGGTAAACATCTTTAAACTAGCATTTTGACACATATGTTCTTGTTAATTATAATATATTTTTATATTTTAAATGTTAAAAACAATTTGAAACAATAAAATATGAAAACATAACAAAACAAAGAAATATAATTTAAAGATAATTTAGCCACTGCATGATTACAAATTTTTAAGAAATTAATTATAACAGAAAAATATATAATAATCAAATGTGAAAAATAAAACAAAACAAAGATAAAAGTTAAAGATAATGTATTCATTACATGGAATCAAAAACACAAGAAAATGAAGAATCAAATCACATCCTTGTTGGTTCAAAAGATTTTCAAGAATATAGCCAGATTTATAGGACTCAAATTTGAGTCTCCATAAATTCACTATCTGAAATAACAGAAAACACTTATAAAAGGCTGGTAGGACTACTAAGCATATAGCTTACGACTTATTGTAATAGGACTACTATTTGAATGGCAAACCAACTAAACAAGAAAAAGAAGTTTCTTGATATAAAAGAAATAACAAAATAAAAGAAGTCCTAAACTTGATCATGTTATTTGGTCACACACGACCAAGAAGTCCAATGTCACAGGTTCTGCCAAAAGTTAGTTTCAGTATTAATTATTTATTTCTACTTTCTCACTCCCTGCATCATTTCTATTAATGCAAAGGATAGACTTTTCTGAATTTTAAAAGTGTTCATTATTCTAAAGAATTCTCCACCTTTCATTCCTCATTAACACACACAACGAAGCAAGCAAATCTCAAGATCAACAGCAGACATTTTTATATAAATTGAGTCCACCAGCTTCTGACCCTCTGCTAAAAGGTCTAGTATTTCCGTTGATTATGGATTTTCCTATGATTAGTTTGATTACTTTTCATCTTTGAAGTCATTAACCAAAAATGTTACTTGAATTAACACAAAAAGGAGCTTGGCATACCAAAAGTAATGCAAGCTTTGTTGACTTTCACCCTTGAAAGCTGTCCTGGCAAATGCAGCATAAAACCTGTTCATAGATAATATCAAGAGATATCCTAGCCTAATGTTGCATAGGAAATACTAATATGAATTCTACTTACATTCCTAGAGTCATTACTGTCAGCACACCAGAAATTTCAGCACCTTCCTGAGCCTACCATATGAAAAAGGCTAGTCAGGCTTCTCATGCATAGCAGAGAAAGTTTGTTTAGTATTGACTTTTCATGAATCGTTCTAGACAAGAAAATCAGAGAATGCTCTTGGAGTATTGACTTCATTTTTACTGGATACAAATAAATACATATAAATTTAATTTCTTTTGCTGATACCTTCAGGAATAAACTGCTAAGGAAAAAAGCAAGGCATACATCTAGATTGAGAAAATATTACACGTTCTATGAAGCATAAACATTAAATCCTAGTGAAAAGTTCTTACTGCACACTGCCAATCATATATGCCTTAAACTCAATATTTTAAAGTCTGAGACACAAGCCGGCATTGGCTTTCTTCCAGGAAAATTTTCTAGGTTGAACCCTATTGGAAAGAAGCTCAAACTCAAAAGAGTTTCTAAATTTTATTAAGGGAAACAAATAAGTTTCTTAACAACTTCCACAAATGTGATAATTGACATATTGACTATAAGACAATAAAAACCATTGATTTAGCATCCTAAATTTGGGAAGGAACTTACAGTGAAGTAAGCAATGTAGCTCACAGCAAGTGTCAATGTAATCTCTATCACTGTGTCATTGAAGATAAATCCAAGCCACAAAACAGATACAAACCCGAAAGCAAGACCCATGGCTACACTGGAACAAGAAACAAGTTTCATGACAAAAGTAAAGACTGTCACAAATGCTCAAAGAAAGTCACAGATACATACGCTCCAAGTGAGACCTGAGCCAGAAATTTGACTATGGCATCCCAAGTAAAGCTCTTTCCAAGGACCATTTGATAGAATAGTTGATAAACCACAATCGCTGTCCTGGACAATGGAAAGGAAGTGTATTTCAAAGAACATTAAATATAGAGAAGAAGTCATTATAGTAAATGTTCAGTACATCAATACTACATTAAGGTATTAAAGCAAGATGCTGATTTAACATTAAGAGGCATCAAGTCAACTATCGAAACCTATCAACAGCTCAACAATAAAAAATACCCATCATTCATCAAGGATTCTCCTTCAATTATTGTACTCAGTTTTTTGCTAGCACCAAGCTCTTTCAGTAGAGCAACAACAGCCACAGGATCGGTAGCACTCAAAAGTCCCCCAAGCAACAATGATGTTTTCCAGCTCCAGTTATATGGAAAAGTGAACTGCAGTATGGCAATTTTTATGTATTATATATTTAAACTAAAAATACTAGAATAGGGAAGAAGAAGAATCTACTTTGTGGAATGCAGGATACCTTCAAAGCAGATCCAAGAAGAAAGGTTGAGATCAGAACTCCTGGACCTGCTAGAAGAAGCATTTGTGCCATACACCTCTGTACACAGAGAAAAAAAACAAATAAATAAATAATAAGGCAGTTGATTCTTGTCGAGTCCAGAAACTTCAAATCATTTAACTAATCACTTGCATAATGGTAATCTTGCTCCACCAGAAACCAGTACGCAATAAGACAAAAAAAAGAAAGGAAATAAAAAAAGGCCCTTACAGAAAACAAATTACAGATATTTCATAAAATTTTAAATATCCAAATGGTTAAAGCCTGATGGAAAAGGGTCCAAGAATAATAGTTAAAGTCTAACATGCAGCTCGCATGTTTGGCCAAGGTTCAGTGGGTTTATCATGTACGTCATAACCCAAACATGCATATGTGGTTCCAAAGCACAAGCACACAGTTGTGATTTATGTAAAAAAATGGAAAAAGTTTTATGATTTGGACAAATATCTTGGCCAAATAGGTTCCAATAATGTTGAAGTATAACTAATCTCAGAAGTTTAAACGTATAATTGATTGGGCGTTTTTGGTTTATATGATCACAAAGTGTTGCCAACAAGTGTTCTAATCAGAATAGTTCCAACCCTTATTTATAAAAATAGTGGAAAGTTAATTGTCCATAGCTCAAAGTATATAAATATTGAGAAGGGGTCGAAGAACATTCTAAAACACTTAGTTATCTACAAAACACATTCTGAACTACTTAGTTACCTACAAATGATCATTTATCATAATTTTATAATCCATACATTATTGATTTCTAGCTCTACATCAAGTAGATCTTGTCTACACATTTTCTATCATTCATGGAGCTCATGTTTCTCGTTCTTGTGTCTTTGGCAAGTCCGTGATCATGCAACTAAAATATCAAGCTAGAGCTCAGTTTACTTGTCGAAGGATAGAAGTGATTGCACCCACCCCTATCAAACTCACTAATTCATAGAAGTTCAATTCTTTTGTATCTGTATATCCTGCTTAGAAATTCTTTCCTTGTCAAAACTCTGGATTCTTATTTGGTTAGGCCTATTTTGGGGTGGTCTAAAAAGCCAACTATTTCATTGTTTTCAAAAGCCTCAAGACAACATATCAGTGTCCTTAAGCTAAAAAGAAAGTCTGTAATTAATAAAGAATTTCAGATTTTAATCAAGTACATACCTAAAGCGATAAAGATAAAATAAGTTCCTCAAAATCATACTCATGCTATAATCATATAGAAACCAAAGTAACTAGATAAAACAAACCTTTATTTGGTGCAACTCCATGGCGAATGAACTCTCAAAAAGAAGAGCAGGAAGAAAAACAGCCAATAGAAGGTCAGGATCAATAGTTGACCCTGCACGTTAACAACAAAACCAACTCCACTAAAGAATAAACTACAAACAACTTTCAACTCATTATGAATAAAACTAATTGAACAACTTACAAAGACGAATTCCATCGCCAATCTTCCCCAGTCTATGACTTGTTCCATACTCTGAAACAAACCCAAAAAAAAGATCGTTGAATTTTAAATAGAAAGAAAATTTGAAAACACAAAACGAATTGAAGAAGAAAAAATTTAACCTAGAGAGCCGAGAGCAATTCCGATTACGAGAAGAGCGACGGTGTAAGGAACTCTGGTTCCACGCAATAAATGCCGGGAAGCAATTCCAAGCACCAAACTTATAGCGACAAAAATGACAGCGTCGGTTGGATTGCCACTCTCATTAGAACCAGAATTGCTTCCGCTTTCTTCGCCTAAGATTCTGTAGGGAAAGAGCTCCTCCGTCAAGCTCTCCATGTGAAGAGCTTTCAAGTTTTTCTTTCTTTCACTACTCTAGTGCACTTGAGATCGATTCCTTGAATTTATATTTATAATGCTCGTTTTCTTAGCCGAGTCCTGAGGGAGATGGTGATTGAATTGTCAAAAATAGCCTTGAGAAGAGTCTGAATTACTTTAGGAGTCCATCTTGTGAAATTTGTTGGTTACATCCAATTTTATCGGATCTCTCCGAAGAGACAAATCTCTTGGGTGTTGGTCAACTGTTCACGAAATTAACGAATCTGAGATATTTCCTCTTACATTAAAAAAAGAGAAATTGTTATTATTTTATTTCGTCTTGAGTAGCGGGTTTTAAAAATAGGAGGAAAACGAGGGGTTTTTTTGGTCCATTTTAGAGTGCCTAGTTCAAGTACTAAGAGACTAAGAGTGGGTACTGCTGTAATATAGATGATCTAATAGGGGTACTTTTAACAATGAACATGTACGCATTCACTTCAGTAATCAGGATCAAGTTGTTCAACTTTCAACGTTGTAAACGCTCCACTGCGGTAAACTCAGCATTTTTTCTTCTTCATCTTTTACGCTATTATATAATTGGAAAATTTAAACAAAAGTAACACCTATTATATCTAATATTCTTTTGCTTAATTCTATCAAATTGCACGCTTGTTTTATCAATCTTAAAGTGAGAACATCCCCACCAAAAAAATAAAAATAAAAAAAGCTTAACTTGTAGCATGCTCAAACATTACTTGGGGAAATTAATATTATTTCTCTTTTAAATTTGTTTACCAATTGTTTTTATTATAATTAATGGGATTAATTAAAAATAAAATATTGGAAATTAACCTGACTTCAGTCTTGTAATAGAATCAATGGTAGGGTTTTGTAAAATATCTTTATCGGGACTTTTAAAAGGTTTTTATTTTTACTTTTAAATTTCAAATCCAATTTTAATTTTATCTCCATTATTGTATGTTGTTAATTAATTAGTTTTATTCGTCGATTCCATGTTTTAAAAATTTGCTTATGATATTCGTACTATCAAAGCCGCGACTTAATTAATAATCGGATGCATGTTACATGTACAAGAAAATCGAATCTTTTCCCACTTGACAAGTTTAAATAAGTTTCGCTCTGACCCAATTAATATAATAAAAATTAGAGGCGGCGAGCAGAAACAAAATAGTTAGGGTTCCCAATTAGCGAAGATTAAAATAAGAGTAAACGACATTTTCCCACCCAAAGATTACCGAAATGGCTAGCTCCCACCCTGATTTCATTTATTTTAGATTTTCACCCCTTAAAAGTAACAAAAAAACTGTAATACAATGGTCAAAGGGTAAAATAGTCATTCTACACTAGATTAAATCTAAACTGAGAATGAAAATTTTAGGGTAGCCCTCCATATCTCAAATTTTTCTCATAGCCAGAGTCTCCTATTTCTCTCAACTCACCACTCTCCGATTTGGCCTTTTCCGGCGTCGCCGATCTCCCTCACCACCACCAAAATACTCACCTCACTCCCCTCATTAAACCCATTGTCGTCCGACCCCTGCTTGGACACTCTTCACTGGCCACCTTCTCAATTGGTTTTTTGTGTGCCGTTTGCTTTTCCAGTGATTGTTTCGCTGGAAATTGATGTTGTCACCATCAATCAACCCACTGACCCTTCCTCTCCAAAAGCCCTGACAATCCCATTCCCGTTCGCTCATCGTTCGCTGGTGATTAAAACTTCCCCACCATAGGGTTTTCTGAGTGTGAAAGGTTAATTGGGTTTGATTTGTTCGAATTTTTTGTTTCTTTCGATTGGAGGACGGTTGAGGAAGGTTTTTTGAAGTGCTTTGAGGTTGTGTTGTTGATTTCCGGTCGCTAGCGCTCCCCAAAACTCTCACCTTCAACCCTTTCCCGATTGCACATAAAGTGTTTGAAGAAAGGGCTTTTGTTGTGTTCTATGGTGGTGATATTGTGTGGGTGGGACTGTAACAGTTGCAGGGGTGTGTTTGTTAGGTTTTCAAATATGTAAATACTTAGAAAATCCGAGGGGCATGTTTGTCAGGTTGTCAAGGGTAATACGATAATAACATCTAATAACCTAGCAATGCTACTTTAAGGGTGAAATTTTGGAATAAATAAAACTAGGGTCGAAGCTTGCTATTTCGCTAATCTTTGGGTGGGAACATGTCGTTTACTCTTAAAATAATCTTTTGTTTTCGTATTATTGAAGTTGTTACGTGTCCAAATTAAATTACTTAGTTTAAAGATTGATATTTGATCAGTTATTTAATATTAATTCAACATCACTTTGGGTAAGGCCAAAGCAATCAATGAGGTCAACAACAAATATTTAATCCTAACTTTTAACCCTTATCATCTAGTAGGTTAGTAAATTTGATGACGAGTAATCTTACGTATTTCAGTGCAATATTCCAAATTCATCTAATAGTATATTAAATTTAGTTTGTTATTTACTTAACATTTGTTGTCGTATAAGCAAATGTTATCACTTGAGATAAAAAATTTAAGATGTTTCTAAAGTTGTACAATACTATGCTTTAATTATGAAAAAAAAATTATATTTACATTTAACAATAATTACCTATTGACATTGATTTCAATTTTCAAATCATTGAACCAAGGATGAATTAATCATCAGCGTATTTGTGAGAGGTATTAATCGAGGGCATTTTCTAAAAAAAAATATATAAATTAAAATATAATTTTTTATTTTATAAAATAAAAATAATATTTAAGGTATTTAATATTATTTTTTTCATCAAAGTTTCTAGGATATCTTTATTAAAAATCGTTCGTAATTATTACATATTTTTTTTTCTTTACAAGCAATTAAACTAACTTTGATTCTCTAACATAATAATACACATGATATTTCTAGTTCTTTCAATGTTAAATAATATTATCTGTTCAAATTTTATATATATTTGTATTTATGTGTTTATATTGACATTTGTCTTATATTAAATTCGATACAAATTAGTAATTAACTTTATTTTCTTTTCAATTTCGATTTTAGAATAATATTGATGAATAAATGTTTTTTTGAGAAATTAAAAACTATATAAAACCAGATTTAAAAAAAAAAAAAAAAAAAACAATACTGACTATACCCTTAGAAATAATAATATGTTATATCACAAATTACTAGGTGGTACTCCAAGTATTTCATATGAAGTGAAAAAATTGAAATATTATTCAGATATCTAACACCACTCTCTAGCAATATATGCACAATTGATTTACATTAATAATAATTAATTTCAATATTCAAATTATTGAGTTGAGATAAACGAAGGGTATCACATATCTTATATTGTTATAGAAAAACCATTTGGGAATTGGGCTAGCTTAAAAACTTACTATTTGTTCAACTAAATAAATACATTACATTATAAATGCCAGTGCTACTAACTTTTCTTTTATCATCTTTTAGTCTTCTTTTTGTTTGTATCACATGTAGATCTTGAATCGATATTTGACTAGATTTATCAGCCACACTTTGCTCTTGAATATTTGAAGTCCACAATATATTTTATGTGCTGTCTTCAGTCAACTTACTACTTTCCTTTGAGATTTGTGTGAAAAGCCCTTCAATGCCTTTAATTGCCAATTTTACACAACTTCTCATTCTTTGATGCAACACACCACACTTGTGTTGGTATACGACATAAATTACTAAGTCTTAGTGCTTATGGACACTCATATTTTTTCTCCTACAACCATCTCATCCATTGTAGGGACAAAAAATCATCTTAAGTCTGACGAGACTCAATAACGAAATAAACATGTCACAGTCCAAGGTCTTAGTCCAATTCCAATTGGGCCTAAGTTTAAAGTCACCCTGTGAACTGTTTACTCTATGAGTTGGGCTATCTTACAAGTTAAGCTAAACTGGATTCCAGCCTATTAGCCTACAACTGTACCCATAAATAAGAAATCAGAATCTCATTCTATTTCCTTTTCTACTAAGATCCTGAATCTTATTAAAACTATTAAACCTAATCTGATAAAGGCAGAAAATCTTATTTCTTTTATGATAGGGATTGTCTCTCAAAGTATGACTTAGTGTCCTACTAGGATTCCAACCCCTTGGGTTCACTATATAAACAGAGGTTTGCTCTCTCATAATGCATGGAATCTCCACTACTCAAAACTGTCTACTTGCTCCTAAATTCTTGCTCCCTAGAATTCTACACCTTCATCATAGTCTTGGAATCCAAAAAGACTCCCGGTAATCCTTCTTTCCCTTAACTCTTATTAAATGAGTATCTTTTAGCCTTGCTAACTTAAGCGTCGGAGTACCTACGGCAAACACCACCTCGGTGTTTCTCGTAAGTTTCACGTTTGTCTCTTTGTATGCGCAGGTCCAACGGATTGCCAGTGGCCTCAACCTCATGGGATCAGACCCTATTTCCACAACCGTAGATTTTAGCATCTATAGTTTGGCACCCAACGTGGGACCCTAACAATCATCTGCCAACGATGACTTACAACATGAAAGAAGGCATGAAACTCCCTTCGACTGACATTGTTAATCAGAAAGTCCCATTATGATAAGAAAGTTTTTCTCTACTTTTTTTCTTTTTTTAATTGAAAGCATCTATGAATCATTCAAATATCGTATTATATTTGTTCAACATGAAACATAATATTTTGAAGCGTTAAAATGCTTCTCCCGTGTTTATTATTTGTTCATACACTACTTTAAACGTTGATCACATTTTGGGACTTTATATGCTTCAATGCATGTTTAATTGCTTCTTCGGAAGGTATTTCACTCGTTAATGTTCAGCGCTACCCAATGTCACTTGACGATAACAGTTTCACTCAATGCCACTCGGCACCAGTCTTAGACATGCACACCATAATGGTGAAACTCTAGCCAACTCGACACTACAAAAATCAAAGAGTCACACAACTAATTGTCAATTGAGACTCACAATCCGTTCGACTCGGTTGTCATGACTGAGTGAAGTCAAATGGTAGTACCGAATAAGCCGATTCTCCTTGAAAACATGAAACCTATTCTTTCTCTC